TATGATCATTGAGATTCATTTGATAAATCCCCCATTTGAAAGAGATATCAGATCTCTAGAGCTTTAAATTAAATCTAGACAACTACCATGAATAACAATTAAAAACTGATGTTCCAAAATTGATCATCCCCAAAACATTAAACCTTAACCCTATGAAAATTTCCCAACAAAGAAGAAAAAGAAGCATATGAGAATTCTTAACAAAAGATGGAGAATCAGTTCTTCCTTTCCTCTTCACTTTCCACGATCTTCTCCTCGAAACACTTTCCTCAAACCCCTTTTTCTCCCACTCTTTTATCTACCTCTAACGCAATAAAATGAGGTGAGGAATGGAGACCCACAACGCTTATCCTCGATTTTACACTTTTAGCCCTTAAAGATGAAGCACCTTTTTCAGTTGCACCCCTACACTTCGTTTATTTAACCAAATTAGACTTTGGATTATTAGAATATTCATGGAAATCCTCGATAGAATTGGTAGAATAGTTAAAAAGGGATGTAGAAGTTGGAAACCATTTCTTGGATTTGCTATTATACTTTGGCCTTAAGTGCTTCCATATGAACATTCACTCTGCATCAACTGTGCTTGATTCTACATCTCGACATTCTCCGATGCATGCAGAATTATTGTAATAGATCACTTTTTTATAGATGCGTTTCTGTTTAACCATAACTGCTTCCACCACGGTTTCATACGTTTCTTTCATTTTTATGTCGACCCCCTTACCCTTTTGCATTGTAAGCATCTTTTTCCAAATTCAACCTTCCATGTGAAAAAAAATAAGATTAAGTAATTTACATCAACCAAATCCCAAACAAACCAAAATGTATGTGAAATTATTCATGAAATGTGAATGAATATTGGAGAGGATAGAATTAATTATATAGTCTGGAATATAGAAAAGAGTGGGGTAAATGTAGTATTTCACGACAACATATAACTTTTTTTCGAAGTAGTTTAATTAATAAAATAGATATCATAAATATTAACTGTCCAATATATAGAAATGAAACATTGACCCATGTAAGCATCAATCAACCATTAACATCCATTTACTTTGATGGTCTTGTCTCATCAATGGCATTCCCATGGTAGGTCCCTTTGGATGGGTGTTTTGGACCTTTGACCTTCCCACAAATTTAAACAATCTTTTTATTAAATTAATTGGATTTTTCAATATATATTCTATAACAAAATTAAATATACATAATGTCTATATTAGAACAAATAATGATAAAATGTATGACATGACTTAGATGTGGTTAGTCCTTTCTTTATCAACACCCTTTTAACTAAAAGGTATTCCACCCTTTCGTAAATATAATTTATTTCAATAACCAACAAACAATGTCATAAATATATATATATATATATATATAAATGAAAACTTTAACATGTTGATTTGAAGTAGAATTCAATAATAATTTACTAAATAACAGATAGACAAATATATTTGACTAAGTAACACTCGTTTAATTTATTATAATTTTTATATAAAACAACGAAAATACATATTATTTATTTTCATAATCAATAGTTTTATTTATTGTATTTGTAAAAACTCTTCAATTTTTAAGGTTACAAGCTAGTAATAGTTTGCTTGTAATTTTTTAGAATTTTATAAAAGTAACGATAAACATCGTAAAATTATTTTATTTTTCTAACAAACTTAGATTACTTTAATTATAATCAAAATTTTAATTAAACAAACTATATTAAAATATGAGTATTTATCTTAAGTATGTTATAAGGCATTCGATAATTTTTTTTTTATAAAATTAAAGGTTAACAAGTTATTATAATCTAAATATAACTTCTCAAGTCTTTATAAAATTAATTGATAAACTTCATAAATTAATCTTATTTGTTTTAAATCTAAGTTATTTTAAATATAATTAATTTTTTTAATTAAAATATAAAAAAATAAGTATTTATTCTCTTAAATTGGTACATATGTCGATTTTTTCCAATTTCAAAGCTGATTTACAAAATTTCGATCACAATTATGTTGATACAAATACTTTTACTATATTATGCAACATTTACCTTATTTTTTAGATCTCTTAAAACTTCAAATTTACTTCTTAAACCTTAATTAATGTTTGAATTTAAATGAACACTAATTGGTTATAAACACATTCATATATAAGATACATGTTAAGCCTTATTGATACAATATAATAACCTATAAAATTGATAACCGACTGAAAAACTTTCTCACTCTAAAAAGCACACTAATCATAAAACAAAATCGAGAAAAACAAAGAATAAAATGAAGCATGTATGAACTAGGATTGAGGTGTGTTTCATGATAAATTAATTAATGGGTTACACACATATATAGAGAGAGAATCATTTGTTAATCAAGTAAATATTTTTAATTTTACAAACTTATTTGAGTTGTTTATTTTTTTGCTCAACGCTTATAAATAAATGAGAGGTTATAAAATAATGAAAAATGAAAGAAATTAAATTGAATTAAATGAAGGGCAATTTTGGAACAAACTGGTTTTTATTTTTAGAAAATAATCTTGTTTATAATTTATAGTTTTGATCTATGAACTTCAATTGTTCTGATTTATTTATCGAAGTTCACAGAATGCTCATATGTAAAACAATTTTTGTTTAAAGTTCATAAGTGAAACAATAATTTTTGTTTAAAATTTATAACGTTGTTTCATGTTTGAATATCAGTTGTTAATTTTTTTTACCAAATTTCCTACATAGGTAAAATCAGAAAATGAATAAGATAATTAAGAAAGTTAAACAAAATAAATGAGATAATCAAGAAATGTGACAAACCCACCTCCTATCTCAGTCAGACGGGAAAGAATGTCCGTCAAGTTCAGATAAGAATAATTAAGTAAATCAAATAATTAAGGAATATGATATCAATATATAAAAGAGACGAAAATACCTCGGTTAACAAAGTTTGTAGGATTTGACGGTTAACAAAAGAAGAAGGTAACTTTATATATATATATATATATATATATATATATATATATATATAGGGGCCTAATCAAATGAAAACTAATTAGTTTGTGGTAACTGTGAGAACCAATATTAACCACAAATCAATAGATAAATTAGGAAATTTATAATTTTGGCAATTTTGAATTAAAATTTTAATGCAAAGATATTTTTGGTATTTTACAACTTTCCTCCCTCCTCTCTTCTCTCTCCGGCCACCGTCCTCCGGTGATACTACAATTGTATCACAATGCATCATATATGTGCTTGGGTATCACATTGATGTCGTTTGTGTGGTCGATCGAAAATGTAACACAGTGGTATCACTATGCATCTTATATATGATTAGGTATCACAATGTATCTTTTGTTTAACAGAGTCAATATTTTTAGGTATCACAGTGGTATCATAGTGGTATCACCGGAGGACGGAGAACGATGGCCGGAGAGAGAAGAGAGGAGAGATGAGAGTTTTAAAATACCAAAAATATCCTTGCATTAAGATTTTAATTTAAAATTACCAAATTTATAAATTTCCTAATTTATCTATTGATTTGTGGTTAATATTGGTTCTCACAGTTACCACAAACAACTCAGTTCTCCCTTGAATAGGCCCCTATATATATATATATATACATATATATATATAAAGAGAGAGAGATTGAAAGAGAGAGAGAGAGGGAGCGATCAGATACAAACCACCTAATTTGTACAAACCGTGCAAACCACCATCATCTGTCGATTTAATTGTTTAATCTTAAGAATTTTTTTCATGAAACTATTTAATCTTGTGAAATTGTTTCATATAATAATTTTTTGATGAAGTTGTTTCATATATGATTATGAAATTGTTTCATATAATACTTGATGAAATTTTAATGAAACTGTTTCATGTATTTCTCTAAAATTAAAATAATGAAGATGATAATATTCATGATTAACACCTCCACAATAAAAATAATTAATCAACCTCTTATAATTATAAAAAAATTAACAAAATAAAAAGTTATGATTAATTGAACGAGGTTTGTACGGTTTATACATAACATGGTTTGCAAAATAAACCTCACATGTTCCTCTATATAACTTTCACCTCCATCATGGTTCATAAACGAAAATTCCCCTCCATTTGCAAAGTTCTTCATGTGTTTAATTTTTTATATCAAATCCTCAAATCTTTCAAACAAACAAATTCTCTTCATTCTTCACCTCGTAATTATCCATATCTCCCTCCTAAAATCCCTCCTAAATCTCCCATCTTGATACTCCACAATAAAAGCATGTTCCTTTCTTCACCTCAATCGTTATCTTAACCGGAAACCACAAGATTTTGGATTAAATTCAAGTTTCACAGATCAAACTCCCAGTCTTGTGCATTCTTCAAGAATCAAGATTCTTCTTTGGATGATGGAAGAAGTTGAATTCAAAAAAGTTCATGATCCGTATCTACAATCCAAGATGACAAATTCAGACACCCCGCTTCACTGTGTTTGGGTGCCGGGGCCGATCATTGTCGGTGCTGGTCCTTCAGGCCTTGCCGCTGCAGCCTGTCTCAAGAACCATAACGTCCCAGCCTTGATTCTTGAACAGGCAAACTGCATAGCTTCTTTATGGCAATTCAAGACTTATGATCGCCTTCGTCTTCATCTTCCCAAACAATTCTGTCAGCTTCCACTTATGCCCTTTCCTGTAAACTTTCCAACTTACCCTACCAAAGAACAATTCTTAGCCTACCTCGAATCCTATGCAGAAAACTTTGATTTGAAGCCAATTTTCAATGCAACAGTTGTGAGTGCAGAATTCGATTCTAGGTGTGGGTTCTGGAGGGTGAAAACGAAGGTAACTGAGTATGTTTGCCGCTGGCTGATCGTTGCGACTGGTGAGAATGCTGTGGAAGTTGTGCCAAGACTGGAAGGAATGAATGAGTTCAATGGACCAATTGTGCACACTAGTTCGTACAAAAGTGGTGAGGGTTTTGAACATAAAAGTGTTTTGGTTGTGGGCTGTGGGAATTCTGGGATGGAGGTCTGTTTGGATCTCTGCAACTATAATGCTTTTCCTTCACTTGTGGTTAGAGATTCAGTATGTTCTCTTCTCTCTCTCTCTCTCTCTCTCTCTCTCATCTCTCTCTCTCTCTCTCTCATATTGCATGATCAAGAACAAAGTGTTTCTTGAGTATTGCAAGATTTCTGCAATCTTGATTTGTTCTTATTAAAAGATTTCTTGATGATATTTACCAATTTGCCTTAAAATTAACAAATTGATGTAAGATCTTACTTCAGTTTTTCTTTCTGGAGTGGTTCATATAATTCCATGAATCTTTCAACATTTTGATCATGTATATCAAATCAAAAGTTGCTATATAACAATACCCAAATTACAAGAAAACTAGGGTTTATACTGTACACTCTTCTCCTTTCTTGTGTGGAATCAATCACTATTAATTTCTTTTCACATAGTTATGACTCGTGAGAATCTTGAATAAAAAAGTCAAATCACCAAGTATATATAGCATAACAGTGGTTCTGTTTCATTGATCATATAAGAGTATATACGATATTTGATGGTATAGAAAAATGTCAAGATCAAGGATATATGGATCTTTGTGTGGTTCCAATTCCACGATGTTTCCAAAATTGCCCTTTGTTGGAAACTGTAATGTTCTTAGATTAATTTATATTGAAAAGTCAAAATAATGCATATAAAGATTGATGAATGGCCTGATCTTTTTAGGGTTAAAAGCTTTCTTGAAAATTGTATGCATGCCCATTGCTGCCTGATCACGTTCAAACTCTTTTTCTTTTCAAGCAATCTGCAAACTCACTGCTGAAAAGATTCTCAAGGGTATATCAATTGCCTTTTAAAACCCTAGTTTTTTAATTTTATTTTGGTGGCAACTTTTTTGCAGTTGCATGTGTTACCACAAGAGATGTTTTGGGTATCAACTTTTGGACTGTCAATGTGGTTGCTCAAATGGCTGCCGGTGCAAATAGTTGATCAACTCTTGCTTTTCGTATCACGGTTTATGCTTGGTGACACAAGTCATATTGGCCTCAATAGACCGAAGCTCGGCCCACTTGAGCTAAAGGGCATTTCTGGAAAAACACCCGTGTTGGACGTTGGCACGCTTGCAAAGATCAAGACGGGCGATATCAAGGTACCTAGCTATATATCTATCCCATTACTACACTTGGTTAGGTTGCAATCTACATGTATTCTGGATCAATCTATGATACTCCAGGATACAACAAATCACCATGATCAATGATCAAACTTTTAAGTATGGTTTTTTAGAGTCTTTCCAAGAAAACATAATCAATGAAATGTTTACGGTTTGCAGGTTTACCCGGAAATAAAGAGACTGGCATGCAACGTCGTCGAGTTTGTAGATGGAAGAAAGGAGAAATTTGATGCCATAATTCTAGCCACAGGTTACAGAAGTAATGTTCCCACTTGGTTGAAGGTATTGATCATCTAGCCACTTCAAATTTTGATATCTTTCTTATTACTTAATTACTTTTCTTGATTAAACTTGAAAGTGTCAAAAATATTGTTCTTAATGTTAAAACCGATTTGGGTATATCTACTTTTTTGGTAAATAGAAGTTCGTCGAAAACTAACCCTATGATTTTATCTGTAGGACCTGAATCTATTCTCGGAGAAAGATGGATTTCCCATGAAAAAGTTCCCTGAAGGATGGAAAGGCAAACATGGATTATATGCTGTAGGGTTTACAAAGCGAGGTCTATTGGGTACATCTATCGACGCTTCAAAGGTTGCAAAAGAGATTGCAGGTCAATGGAACAACTCTCATCGAAAATGTGAAATTCTACAAGGACGTAAAACTAGTATAGATTCGTAAACCAGTTATATTACCTTTTTCATCGGTGTTTTTAGATTCGTTAGGAAATATATGTTTTACGTTTCCTAAATGTACATAACACATGTTTTTTGTACATAGTTCTTGTTGTTTATATATAGCTAATTAATAATCAAGTAGGTAAATTTTGAGGTGAATATATATGGAAGTTTTTTTATAGTTGATTTTTTAAATAGCTATAGGGAAATTTTGAACATCTAATATTTGGTTGCCATTGTTTAGATTGACAAGAATAGATTCTTTTTGGTATTAATTGCAAATTTAAATAGTTTTATGATAATTCTAGCAACAGTTTTATTTTTTATTTTTGAAATTATCAGATCTTTCAAGCCTTAATTATACCGAAATTAATGTATCTATCGATCTTATGACTCTCGGTATCCGTCATACCATCTTTGATTGATTCTTCGGTATATATCCAAAAACTAATTGATCAAAGATAGGAAATGTGTGATTTTGATGGGAACCATCATATATCATGTACCGATTTTTGTTTTGAGTGGCGGAGATTTTATAGGTATTATATAGTGATTTGATCGACAAAAGATGATGAAAATCATATTACAACAAAAAATGGTTATAAGAAGTTTTAAATGTCTAAATATAAGAACTAAATAACTTTATAGGACCAAATTATAAACGACCTGTATTTTAAAAGAAGGGCAGATAAGACACTTCTCAAAAGTGTCATATAAAATAGCTATAGACGCTTTATTTTTAAAAAATCATAAAAACTTGTTAAACACCTGGAAATGTTCTTTAAGCTCAATGTAACACTTTTTCGTTAAATGATTTGTTGTTCAACCTTATAAACTTAAGTCTTGTAAAACATTATATTAAAATGCTCTCACATTGTAGGCATCATATAAACTCACTTTTGTTAGTGATAAAATTTATAAATAGGTGAATCTTGGTTTTACTAATTTTGTAAGATTTCATTATTCAACATATATATGTATACTAGAAGGGTATTCGCACAATGCAGCGATATACATTTTGATTTAATATTTCATTTTATTATTTATCTCAGTCGATGTTATAGTATAGTTTTATGTGATTTTGAAAAAAACGATGAAGTTTTTGTTTTTGAATAAAATATAAATTTGAAAATATTATAAAATTTTGACATAAATATATCGATATTACTATCAAATTAACTATTTAAAATTCATATTTTTTGTGTAATTTTTTAATTCAATTTTTATTATAATTTAATTTAGGTTTAATAATAAAGTAATTTATATTTGGTTTAATAATATAATTTTCTTATAAAGATAATAATTAATTATTTTGTTAGAACTTGATAATTATCTTAATTATATTTTAGATTTTTTATATTTTAAAATGATATGCTTATCCTCTATTTGATTATGTTTATCCGCAGTTAGTGACACGAATTCAAACATAGAGCTTTAATAAGTTGTACTTATGCATAACTTACTTGTAATATTGAATTTTAAGTAATATACATCAATATACAATACTTCATGCATAAAAAATGGTTTTTAATAGTTTTTGTCAAATGTTTTATAATATAGTATAGATATATATATATATATATATATATTTTTTTTTTGTACCTACACAAACATAGACACACAATTGACTTTTTCTTATACATACAATTACAAAATATCATAACCGCGAGCAAGTTAGTCATTTTCTTTTTTTCTTGATAACCAATTAGGTCATAAAACATCTATTCGCAATCCGAGTTGTCATCTCGCAAAAATCGAAAAGGCACATTTCGCATTTATGACAGGGAAGTCGTCGCCAATATACGTCGTCTTGAATTTCCTTCCATCCTTTAATTACAAAAAGAAATAAAAAAGAAGTATGTGAAGGTTCAGAAGTTTTACACAAACTCTCAAAGAATGATGAGGCTGCAGAGATCGATCCTTTTCGAAGGGAAAAGACCGCGGCAGGGAGGAGGACCACACCAATAACCACAAGGTGGGGGCTAAGCAAAGTGCACCACAAGTCTTAAACTCTTAAGTAAGTTGTATTTATTTCAATGATTGGATTGGGGCCTACCCCAATTTAAGACAAATGACAAATGGATGGATGGATGAGATCCATAGATGTACAACATCATTAGCACAATGTACAAATCTTGCAATATGGAACAACCCTGTCCATCGATGGTTTATAATTAACGATTGAAAAGGACCCATTGAGAAAAGCGATCGCGTTACGCTTCTTGTTTTGGCTAATTTCTTCGGGATACTCTTGTGGTAACGACCACAATATGCCGATGCTTTTTATGCTTGATTGATTGAATCGATTACAACGTTAAGCAAGTTAGAAAAATTATAGAGCATCATATGAGTGAGGGGGCATAATAAGGTGGATACGCCCCTGGGTGCAATGGGAGGAGATTAATATTGCCCTACAAATCATTGAGAGGACCCATGAGATCCCATCTTCAAAATTCCTTCTTCATTCAATTAATTTTGTTCTTGGCCGACATTAAATATGATATACGTTTAGAGTCATTTATGAGTTATGATATCATATACCAAATTAAAACAATATAATGTTAAAATTCATGAGGTTTAAATAACAAGTCTTAAATTTTTAAAGACGAGACATTTTTCAAGTATATATCATCTTAAAACAGTTATGAAAAATAATATTTAAATACATCTTTTATTTTTTCTATAACATTTTCAAGATATTAATCATAATCCTCCATTTTGTATCCAATTTTCCACCTTGAACTTTACAATGTATAAATCTACTTAAATTTGATGTATATATGATGATAATTAGGTGTATATTGATTCATATTTGACCATGTGAATCCTGACATAAATTCACATGTGAATCTTAATCATAATTTGTACGTCAAACAAACTGAGATTCTTAATCCCTTTAAAATTTTTATATGAACATGTGATGCCTAACATACATTCAAATGTGAATTCTAATATCGATTCACATGTGAATTTTAGTTATAATTTATACGTGAATCATTTTATAACTTATAATCAAGATTATGAATCAGTATAAGATTAATAAGTGAATCTTATAGATATGGGTAAATCAAATAAGGTTACAAACCCATGAGAATCGGTTTTTTTACATGATTTTTTAATCAAATATAAGGATTTAAGATATTCGTTTCTCATATACTTGTTTTATAATGTGATAATTTCAAATGTATTTGTTTCATCATGTGTACATTTTTTATGTATATGTTTTGTTTCTAAGTGAAACAAAAAAAAGTCGCGTGTTATTTTTTTAACAATGTGAACACTAACATATCTGAAACAATATCTTAAATTATAGTTTTGATGGAAAAAATTCGTATGAAAAGTATTTTTTTTATTGGTTCTTACAAGTTTGTAACTTTCATGGTTCTTAATATAGGTCATCGATCTTAAATTAAAAGTAGCACCCTCATTTTCAACATAAGAATATAACGTCATCACTAATAACTTTCCCATAAATATCTCGAAATAACAGGTAATAAAAATTGTTTACAGCGGAAAACTTTAAAACTAAATAAATAAATAACTTAAGTGCTAACCTGTCCGATAACAACTCAAAAATATCCGAACTATATAAGAAAATCTAAATACTAGAATAATCCTCGAGTAAATAAGAGTAAAATCTTTCTACGCATCTCCCTTATCTTTATCAACTTCTAACACTCATCCAATATCACAATGCATTATTATAAGGAAAAACATTGTAACACCCGAAGATCCACATTTGCATATAACCAGGTATTTCACATATCAAGAAATACAAAATATTACACATTAGGTCCCAATAATACAAGAAGTTATACTACAAAATTATAACCAAATTTTTCTATAATATTCTTGTACGTAACTTGCATATAGAACAATTATTCCAAAACTTCAACAAATAACAGGCTCTTCATCATAACTCAGGCAAGCATGAAAAGAAAATTCACATTTTCCATTTCTCTTATCCTTTGATAAAACTTAACGTGCAATACATATTTTTAAACACAAAATTAGGGTTAAACTTTGGGGTCTAGTGAGAAATTCTTTTTTATGCAATTACATAATGAAAATCATCAAAATTTGTTGCAAGTCATATCTGTAATCATACAAATATATATATATCCTTTGAATAAAATATAACTCCAATATTTCAATCAAATATGAGATATAAATTTATTCCACATAGAATGTGATCACTCAAGTCCTCGTATCATTCTGTACGTGATTACCCATAGCTCTTCTGGCTCTTAAGGACCAGAGCTCGTCTGGTTCTTAAGCCAGAGCAAAGCCAAACAAAAGAAAGTTAAAGACTTTAAATCATGAAATCTAGATCATTCTTGAAAATGATATAAACATGTAATATAATCAACCAGAGCTCCTCTAGTCACTCAACTTAGTATAAAGAAATCTAGAGTTAAGCAAACCAGAGCCTCTCCGGTCCACCAGAGCCTCTAGTCTTACCAACCAGAGCTTCTGGTCTCCAACTTTAAAAAATAACTAAGGATGCATGACCAACTAGCCAGAGGCCCTCTGGATTAAAACTTATGGAAAATAAGAAGATTAGATATAAGAAGAGATGAGATTTTCACATAACCAGAGGCCCTCAGGTAAAATATGAAAGTTATTCAGAGTCTTTCTAGTTTTCTACTATCGTTGTAAAAAATCAAGTTAAAAAGGTTTAACTTATAAAGTTGTATGAGAAATCAAGAGTTTAGATATAGAGCTCAGATGCAGAGCTTGTACTTTTTAAATTTCATGATACAAAGCCTCTGTATAGCACATACAGAGCCTCTGAGTCAAATGAGTTTTGAAAAACCTTGAGATTTTTACACCACAACGAGAGGCCTTCTACTTAGCCTTGAAGACCAACCAGATCCCTTTTGGTTCCTCATCAAAACTTATTTTATTGAAATAATTCAAAGTATAACACCCGAATTAACCCAAAAATACTACTATTTCAAAACACATGCAATCAAAGCCTTTCTAGTTATAAACCATTTTCCT